CCTGTGGCTTTCCACGGCAGGGACTCCCTCCTGTCTCCCAGCAGAAGGGAGACAACAGCGTTAAGCCCGTCGAGCATTCGTGAACTCCTGGTCTGAGGCCGGCTCGGGCAAGCCCACCCAGGCGTCGCCGAAAGCCTTGCCGGCTTCAATCTCCAAGGTGCGCCAAAAGTGCTTAAGTAAAGGAAACTTGGCAAAGCGAATACGTAACCATGGCCAGGCCTTCAGCTCTCCGAAGGCGTCCTTGCAACGCTGCAATCTGCTTTTCTCATCCTGCCAAGCTGCCTCCTGAGGACAGCGATGGCGAAAATCTCGATTGGATTTTCGAAGACAAGCTGGTCAAGGCTTGCTGCAGCCCATGGCTGTTTTGGAATTCACTGGCGCTGCACTAACACCAGGAAGCCGTGGAGAAGGAGCTAGCGGAGCAGGGCGGCCTTCTGGAAGGCTTGTGGTCTGCGGCACTGTGACCAGGATGTGTATCAGACTCAGGTGACGATATGTGGCACGTGCGAGACATGTGCAGGCCAGGCGAAGCTTCGGCATTCATGGCACCTCTACAGACCATTGTGACAGATCAACTCCTTGCAGTGCTTCCGAACTGGAGGACGGTCGAGCACGCCCTTGACCCGCCCTACGAGGTTCAACAGCATGGTCAACCTGCATTTGAAGTCCGTTCGTGATTTGCTCGGAGCTGTTTAAGCATCAATAGTTTCGGCAGCCTTCGTGTTCTCTAGCAAGGACGTTTTCAGAGATTTTGTGAGTCACTGTCCGTGGCAGGGCTTGGTCAAGCGCCTGCAGCATCGGATGCTAGACTACAGGCAGAATCTGCGGCGTGTTTTGAAGGGCTCGCCAGCCTCTGCTAGCTCAAGAGCATCCACAAAATGTAAGGGTTGGAACCATGTGACCCTAGGATGGGCCCTTGGCCTGTTTAGGGCTAGTTTAGGGACCATAAGGTACATACACCGTGTATACCTTACCAAACTGGGCCAGAGCCAGTGCATGCGTCCTGGACTAGGGCGCGCTGCGAGTTCGCCTTGACAGAGCAGTTAAACTGGAAGCGAGAGCGCCGAACCCTCCAGGCCCTTTGCTCCACGACTGCTTGGCCTTTTGAATGTCTTGTGAGTTGGCAAGCCCGTGTCGAAGTTCTAGTACTTTGTAAGAATTGCGGCAGGGCAGGAAGCGAGCTCAGCAATTTTCCGCCTAGTGCTTCAATGAGGTAGTTGAATGGCCCTCAATCATGGAGACCTGCAGAAACCAGAATGGATGCGTTCTCTAACTCAAGGCATTTCACTTACTCTGAGCTCAGGCCTGAGCTGTAAAACTGAGCCATGCCTTGGACTGACAGGAGCAATGCTTCGAGCTCCGCACGTCTCTGGAGGAGCCCGCAAGCTAAAGCTGTTCAACGTAAGCAGATCTGTCTCACTGGACTTGGCAACAGGCGGAGCGTGATCGAGCACTGCAGCGGACCACGAAGACCGCCAACAACAACCTTGCGCTTGGCGTACTTTCTGGAGGCGCAGCCGCGGCTTTCTTTGAGGATCCAAGAAGCTAAATACTGGGGTTTTGGGGTCCCAAGTAGAGAAGTCATAGATTTATTTCTGGGGGGCTTGTAACCTGGAAAGCGCGCACCAATCCTCTCCCCTTCTTATAATCTAGTAACTAGTATTCAACATTCATAATGAAAATTCGAGGGTGAGCGTGTTGGATATTTGCTGCAAAGGGATCACTCCCCGGAACGCAAGCCCCATAAACCTGAAGCCCCACAGACCCTCTAGACTCTAAGCTGTAAATCCAAAACACCTTTGGCCAACCCACAGGTCGAGGAGGAAGCGGTCGTGTGTCCGTCCGCCTAGGGCGTGGCGCCTTGTCTATGATGGAGGAGTCCGGCGAGCAGGACCTAGGATGCCACGTGATGTCCTATAGTCTTCTAAGGCCCCAGTATCAATGCGGTCATAGATTATGGATATGTCTAGCTAGAGCAGGGCGACAGTGGGTGACAGTAGAGCTGAGGGTTGAAGTAGTGTTTTGCACCTTTGCTTAGAAGCATGCACCATCATGGAACCGCCGTAGTTTGACAGAAATGTTGCACCCCGGATGATGCAGAGCACGGAGATGTGGAAAATAGATCATACGCAGGACTCTGGTGCGCTTGACACGGCGGCAGCTGTCATCATGAGGCTAGGGAGGCAGAGTGCCAAAGAGTTCCTCCTCCGTCCCTGTGGCGAGGTCCCGGTTTGGTGGCGTACTAGTCGCCATTGTCAAAGAGCTGGTGCCACTTCAGGGAGATGTCCTTGGTCCGCAGATTTCCATTGACCCCTTTTCTTGCTCCCAGGAAGAGGATCGAACAAAAACTTGATCAGCTACGGACTGGGATTGGCCCAAAAGACGCACAGAAGCGCTGTAGACCCAGGTGGCCAGCATCAGCTCACAGTTTGGCAGTGGCTGTGGGACGTTCTTCAAATTCTACTCTTACCTGCTGCAACTTGGCTGACATAGTCTCAGAAGTAATTAGTCACCTGAATGCCATGCCGCCATTTGGCTGAGGCTTCTGGCGATGCTTGCAACTTTCTTCTTTGCCCCTCTCATCCTGAATCATTTCGCGGAGAATCGGGCCACCTTTACGGAAAGGTCGCTTGACTTGGCATACGCCTAGACCCCCCAAGATGAACATACTAACCGAACATATGCCTTGTTGTTGTTTTGAGTTGAATGTCCATGATTGAAGGAGTGTTCGGGAGGGCTGAGCAAGACTTTGAACTTTAGAACTTGAAGCCCATCAAACAAGCTTATTGGCTGTTAGTCAGAAACGAAGGAATGCAAAAGAGCATGCTATATCGTTTGGGTGTATATAGGGGTCGCTCGGGAAGATGACTCCTGATGAGCCATGCGCAGGTGCAGGTGGAAGCAAAAGCTGGTGTGTAGGTAGGTGATCATGGAAGCCAGACCGAAGAGTCGTGTCCGTAAGGTGAACTGAGAGAATACGCTGCGTTACAATTGTTAGTACACTTGCGGTGGAAGCAAGTATGTGGCTACTGTGTTTCTGCGAACCACCTAGAGAAAACATGACAACTACTACGTCTCCATCTGCAACGCGCTCCTAGAAAGCATCACCCCCTCAGATTCATACCAGGATGTGCGGGTCATATCTGCCATGCTTCCTTTTTCTGGGCAGCTTCTACAAGGAAAATGGCGTGGCCGCCGCGCCCCGGCTTTGCGTAAGCATTTTTTCTGGGCGCAAACAGTGAGAAGTTCACCGGTGAGCTCCGAGCTCTAAACCCTAAAGCCCCAGGGTTGCCGCAACCCCGATCCGGTCTGGCTTTTGGGAACTGCAACCTGTAGGCAGTTCCGCCGATTCACTGAACTGGTTTCTGGCTTGCTTTTTGAGCCCTTTCATGGTTCTGGCTGCTCAAAATACATTATGGGGAAGCTTTGGACATGCATTTGGATGTGTTGGGTTCTTGCAAAATCTGCCACAACTCATTTGGCTCGTGCATGTTCACAAGTACGCCCCAAAAGCTCCAAGAGCAACTCAAGAGCATCACACGCCCAAGCATGTTCATGAAAACCAGGCACACTCTGAAAGTCCTCCAGGAGCAGTCCAAGAGCATCGCATGCCCGAATGAGTTTTCGAGGCCTCCCAAGATGCATTTTGGTCGAAGACCACTACCAAACAACAAATGAACTTGGATTAGCCAAACGCATTTGCACGACCCTCCCGAGCACGTGTAGCTCATGCATATTCATGAAAGTTCATGAAAGGTCCTCATTTTGTGTAGTGCTCCTGGTGACCAAAGTGTGCTTTGAAAACCCAGCACTGAAAACGACTTTGGGCGTGTGATGCTCTTGGATTGCTTTCGGGGCGCTGTTGGAAGCTCTGGAAGCGTATTTGGCTGTTGACGGCCCTTGAGCGCATTTTGGCGGATGGGGCTAAAAAAGGAACTGTTTTCCTTGCGGGTTCGGTTCGACTACAGTTCGGTTCAGCGGTTCAGGTTCGGTTCGACGGCATTGCTGTAAGCCCAGCGGAAGAAAGGCTTAAACCTTGACTGCTTGATCTTAGGAGCAGTGGGTGACGGCGATGGACCTCCAGCTGGTCAAATCCAATGCATCGCTCTCAACGCCCCTCACCCGCATTCCTTGTACGTAGATTCCTTCAGGTAACAAGGGGAATTACGGGGATTATGTAGGGATCATAGGCGTCTCCTTTCAAGATTAGACAGGGATCATGTTTTGGAGCTAAGTGTCTGACCTGAATCCCCATGAGTTGGGTACTTAAACCCTTACGGTTTGAATATTCCAGTTAATTGAAGCACCTTGCCTGACAATGGGTGAGATTGGAGCTCGCCTCTTTCAAATCCAGTGGCAACATGCTGCAGTTTACCGGTGCCACGCAGATGAGGCAGATTGACATTGGGCGCCAGGCATTCGACGAGAAGCAACCGGTCAGCATTTGCTTGCATAGCTTCGCATGAAAGGACACCGTACCGGAAATGAGGATTTGCTCTGTGAACGGATAGCATCCCCGCACATTTTTGCGAAGATCCATTCAGATGGAGTTGGTGCCTGATCACATCCCCACATCCTGAGGTTTGCGGCCTGCCCCATGGTCAGAAGCCTGACGGCAGCGGTCCGGGCTTGGGGTTCTCAGTATGATCAGTAATCTCAATAATTGTGCTCATACAGTCTGCTAGTTGTGCGGGTTGTGGCGTTGGTCAATCGCCGTGAAAGAGTTTTTTTTTCACACTGCTCCAGGATTTGTTCGAGATTGCCGTGTCCATGCTGTGTTTGCCGGGTTTTTGAACGACAGCACTGGCTTGAGCGCCTATGATGCGCGAGGCTCAGTACGCACCGTCGGATAGTATAGAACCCGAAGTGGGGGTTTTCCAAAACTAGGGGGCCCGGATGTGGGAGTCCCTAGAATAAGCAAAAAACATAGGGCCGCCCATCGAATTTCTGGAAACTTCCAAAATGGCTCCGGGCTAGAGCCCTAATGCATCTGGGCTGAGGTCTTCACTTCCAACTGGCGGGATATGCCAGGCACGCAAAACGAGGCGAGAGCTTTTATAGGGATCGTGCCGGGGGATCGGGTCTCGCCGAACTCTAGAAGTCAGTTCCACCACAATCAGCCATCAGCTAGAGGCTGCTGAACAGCAGGCAAGGCAATACCTTAGCCCCAGTCAATTCTACAACAACAAACGTCAAATCCCCCCCAACCCTGAGATCCCAGCCCTGTGATGTCATAGGTCCTGCAAGAAACATTTGAGAATGGACGGGATAGGAACCCAATCCAGACGATGGGATTCAGCAAAATTCAAGAGGAGTGGGCCTGCGAAGCTTAAAACCTAACGCAGTGTAGACAAATGCAAGTGGACCTTGGCTGAAAATCGGGGACCCTAATATAGACCCCCAAAATCTATTCGAGACCTTCAGAAGCTTAGCCACAATCTTGGTTCTTTTGCCATTTTTGCACAACTAGGCCTTGGCTCACCTTGGGAAGCAGTGGGACGTCGTGCAGAAATCTAGCACGCTTGCCTAGCACCCATAGTGCTAGACTATATACTATACACCCATCATTTTTTCGGTTAAATGCTATTGACATCAATATTGCAGCTATTGGCGAGGTCTAGGGAATGCGTTTAAGGGGGATGTGCATCCAAAAAAATCAAGTAAGGATCAAAAAAAAACCAAATAAGGATCAACAACAAATCAAAATTTGAGAATATA